GGGCAACCGAAATGCGAAATGATATCGTGTTACTTTTGCTCACTTTGGACATAACCATGACGATTCGCCGAGAACCCGGGAACTCGATCCCCTTGCTGCCCTTGCTGGTTCTGCGAATTGCAATGGTTGTCCAAAATGAGCAAAAATAATACAGAAGTGAAAACTCGAGGAGTTCACCTACCCCTGCCCATCTCTGGAACACCCGACCGATAACCAGCACCAGCTAGCGCGACCAGCCCCTATGGATGCGGCACCCGGTGGCGGGGGGTTTCCCACGCTAGGTAGGATAGTTAGTGGAGCAGCGCCATTCGTGTTCTTGAGGCGTGACCATCAAGTGCCGGCTCCGTCAACGCCATCGTCGCCGCGGTCACGCCAGCGCTCGACGGCCGACTTACGGATTCCGATCCCCTCAGCGGCGAAGGCACATGTAGCGATCGCCCACGCAGGCTTACTCATGATGTCGTCCTGACGAGGAGGAACCACGTCGGGCTCCGTCGCGCTCGCGCTCGCCTACCTATCACTACTCCTACAACTACCACTACCTCACTTGGGGCAGCTCGCGCTCCCACGACGGAGTATGGCGAGCCGAATCAGCACACAGGGTTTTGACCCGTGGCTTGGCCCGACTCAGCTCCCTCATTTCAAGCGAGAGGGGCTTTCCATTGTCGGCCAAGTCACGGGGCAACCTGCTGTTTGTGTCTAGTGCGAGTCATGTAAGTTGCATGGATTGCTGGTACTAGCTAACTCTGTTTTAGCCTCTGCTCTATCCTATAATCATCACAGTCCATCCGTAACGAAGCCTCTTATGGGGCTGGCCTCTCCAGCCCCAGTCTCGGACCGACGCCGCGACCGAAGCTTCGCGCTGCGACGATCCTCGACTCGGCCCTCCGAGGCCGAGTCTTTAATGCGAATGGACTGCTCCTCTTTGCCCCATCATCTTGACGAGCGGAGGATGGCACCTTGACGATAATTGATGACACCTAAATTACGGCTAACCACTTACTGTTCGCCACATCAATGCACTAGCTGCTTTAGTTAGGACACTCGCGCGTTGGCACTCGCCTGCGGACTTAGCGACGGCACTTCGGGGGGCCTGCCCCACCCCCTCGTGCCTTACGCTAAGTACTCGGCTTCGACCAGGCGCGGTGTCTCGATTAGTGTTAAGTTGTAGGCAGATATAGAGCGAGTGACCGCGCACGCGCTCAAAATCGCCTGGCCTGGGATATACTTGAACTTCATGTCCAACAACAAGATCACAGATCCCAAGTCCTTGATGCTGATCTTTTCTTCAAGCTCACCAACGACTTGCTTGATGTTCTCGGCATTTGCAGCAATAATCACATGATCTACGTAGACCGGAAGAAAGATAGGACGTCCTCCTACTACACGCCAGCAGACTCCATTGTCCATCTTTGATCTCTTAAAGTCACAAGATCGCAAGTGCTCGTCCAGCATCCTGTACCAGATCAATGGCGCTTGATTTAACCCATACAAACTTCGTAACAGCCTACAGACGCGACCAGACCCGACGTTGAAGTAGTCGGGCATCTCCATGTAGATCTCCACGTCTTCTCCGATCGGCCCGTTCAGAAACGCCGTCACAAAGTCGAAGTGCTCGCACAGCAACCAGTAGTGCAACGCCAAGAGCAGCACCAACTTCACAGATTCATGCGAGACCACAGGAGCATACGTCTCCCAGAAGTCCACACCGTACTCCTGTTGACAGCCCTTGATTGTTATGCGTGCGCGGCGCCGAACCACTTCGCCTTTGTGGTTTCGCTTCCGCACAAAGACCCATTTACTATCCAGAATCTTCTTGCCTTTGGGGCGCTCCACCAACACCCACGCATTGTTGCGCATCAAATCATAGTACTCCTTCTCCAACGCCTATATCCACTTCTCAGCGTCGGGGCCTTGCAGGGCCTCGTCAATACTCTGCGGCTCCAGGAGAACATTCACGGCCTCAATCACTAAACTCGCAGGAATCTCCACTTCGTAATCTCGGAGTTGAACAGTCGAGTAGACCTGCGAAACGATGTAGCAGCCCTTGAGGCTTCACCTCTCCACCCATCGGCTTCGTCGTCGTCGTCTTCGCTGTCATTGTCTATGAAGCCTTCATACGTCGAGAGACGCCCCAGCAGATCAGCGGGTCTCCAAAGCTAGCGCCCGCGTCATCCATATCAACATCACCATCTGCAGCCTCATTGCTTGCAGCATCACTACTGGCGTGGCCTCCCACTGAACGTGAGACTCCTTGATCCAGCGGCGGTCCGGCCGTCTGCATACGACTGCTGTTAGGCGAGTCTGCAGCGCCATCAACACAACTTTCACAACCTGAGTCTCTAAACTGAGAAGCGTTACCCCCCAGGCTGAAGCACACCCTCGGGTGTCGACGGAGCCGCTGCCGCAGCAGCGCTCGTCGGGACCTCTGGTTCACTCACCAGCCAACGCGCAGGCGCACCTGACGCTGCCGGAGGAGACGATCTGCTTCTCGCTCCAGAAGAAGCACCACAATCAGCTTGATGTCCACAGCATTGACGCTTCGATTGGCCATTGCCATCACGCTCAGAACTGCGTTTCAGTCCTCGAGTCACGGGATGCACGACAGGTAGGCGCACGTACGGAATGGTCGTAGGTAAAACATGACGGCCCTTTCCGTAGCGGTTAGACAGCAACTTCTCCACACATGACGCCTCCACAGTCCACTCTTCTTCAAACTCAACTGAACGCACTTCATTAATCTTCCCAGTCAACAAGTTCAGTATCCGAAATCCCACCGAGTGCTTCGCATAGCCCACGAACAGCCCCGGCTTGCCCGGATTCTCCAGTTTCCTCTTTCGCAAGACTTTCGGCGTGAAGATGAACGCAACTCAGTCCCACGTCCTCAACGTGGACACGTCTGGTCGCTCACTGAAGCGGCGATAGTAAGGCGTCTCTCCACCAAGCGCACTGCTCCCACTGATGTTCATCACTTCAATGGCAAAATTGAAGGCTTCGCCCCACAGTGACCACGGCATATTCGCCGCAGTGAGCAGGCATCGCACGCGAGACATCACCACCCCGTTCATCTTCTCTACCAAGCCGTTCTCTTCCGGACTGTATGCGTTCGTTGTAGTGTACTCGATCCCATTTCCCTCGAGGAAGAACTTCAACTTGTTGTTGAACAGCTCCGGACCTTGGTCAGACACCTCAACTTTGTGGCCCTGAGCCAGGATCCACTTCAGATGAGCCAGCACACCTCCGATGTCTCTTCCTACCTGTGCATCATGAAGCCCCACAGATATCGGCTAGCCTCGTCTTGGACCAGCTGAAAATGCTCAAATCCATTGTAGGTTACTTCACCAACGTAACACATCTCACTCATCAGCTTTTGGAACGGTCCGGTGGCTCGGCGGGTCACAGGCTTCTTGTAAGACATCCGAGTCATCTTGGCAGCATTGCACGCCCAGCAAGGTGAGCTCATGTCCTCAGCCAGCTTCTCATCCATGCCAGCAGTGACGTCATGCCTCGCCATCCGCTGCAGAGCAGGCAAGTTCAAGTGGGCAAAGCGCAAATGCCATCGTTCCAGTGACGAAGCATCATTCTTCTTCCTCGAACGCTGCGCAAGCGCCGTTGAGTCACTGGTGCGCTGCTGAACTTGCTGCGCTCCGCTCTGCACCGCGTACACCGCAACCGCTGTCGCCTTCAAGCGATACCGACGATCAGTCTTCAGCCGCAGTAGCTCGGCATGGTCTTTGCGTAGCCAGCATACACGTTGAGAGTTAATGAAACCAAACTTCACAACCCATCCGTCACGCTCAAGTGTATCCATCCTCAATAGATTATCCGGAGCAGTAGGCGACCACTCCATCTCGGTACCAGCTGGAGTCTTGACTGACGCAGCAGTAGCCACCGAAGCACCTCTAACATGACAGCAAACCGAACTCGTGTTCTTTCCACTACGTTTCCCATTGTTACCGCCTTTCGCTTTCTTGTTCTCCCACCTCTTGAACTCCGAGATGATAGGCTTTACCGCAGAAGCAGGCTTCAGGCTCGGACCATATGCTCGCAAATGTTTCCGACTTGGAGAAACTACGGCAGAAGTGGTTTCGAAGCCAAGAACAGCGAGAGCGCGGCGCTCACACGAGAGAAGAAGGCCCGCGGCCCAATATTTTACGACCATGTCCAACTCGCCTACGCCGGCGTCGTGCCCTGGCGCGCAGAGAGGCTACGTCGTCCGCCTCGTGTGTCCCCACGAACTCGATGACGGCGCCTGGGACGGACCCATCTACGTGCGGCTGCAGGAGCCGCGCTGTCTCCAACCAGGGGACAGCAGTGTCTTCCTCCTCGACGACTCCTCTCGCCGGCCTGGTTGGCTTTGCCAGTTGATCTTCTACCCGCGCGAGTTCGACACCTCGCCCCCGCGAACCTGAACGACCTGGCATCCACGGCAGTTGTCATCCCCTCCTCGCGGCTTACGCGCCCCGCCGAGGACTTGAGCTCCGAGCTCCGAGACCGTCCGCTGCTCCTGCTGTTCCGGTTCGTGCGCTTCGCTTCCTGCTACATGGCCCCCAGCACCGACTCTCCGCGCTATCACTACGTTGAAGTCAACCTGGAGGCCCATCGCGTGGGCCAAGTGGTCGCGTATCGACTGACGGCGGGGCTCCACTTCAGCTCTCCCACGGGGGAATCCCTGCAACTCGCGTGTGCTTACGTCTGTGGGGTGGCTATATGCCACGAAGCCACCGACCCGGCGGTCCACGTGCTGCTTCCCAGTGATCAGGCGTGGTCGTCGCGCATCACTCGAGACGAGTTCGTCATCGGCTGGTGCCACGGGTCACCAGCGAGCTCTCGACCAACGCGCCGACTTCGACGCTTCCGCGCTCGGTGGAATGAGCTCGTTCTTCCTGGTGCAACGGATGTGGAATTACGACAAGTACTGCACGAGGCCTTTGTCCCTCCCGGTTCTGACTCACGTGTGGACTTTGGAACCGAGCCGATCCGCATCGTCACGGAGTTCGGCCGTGTCATCGTGGTTAATCCCCTTCTGTATGCTCGTACGTGGGTCGGTCCCTCTCGCGCGTCACCGCGGCTCGACGCGGACTTCGACACGGATGACGAATCGCCATCCGAGGTGCTGGCAGTCGGCTTATCCCAGGGACGGCCGCTACCGCGAGATATACCAGCCATTGCCCGATCCACTGAGCTCGCGGATCCCGGGTTCGTGCACGGTATCCACCCCACGAGTCCATGAGCTCCCTGTTTCGGCAACACCGTCGCCCGTCCAAGCTGCAACAACAAGGCCACAGCCCACGAGTACTGACCAGGCGGACGGAGTACTCACTGTCCTGGCAGAGTTTGCCCGCACTACTCAGATGGTGCTGGCACAGCAAGCAGAGGCGCAACAAACGCTCTAGAGCCAACTGCTGGAGAGACTTCACGCTCCTGCTACTCCGCTACCGCCCAGTGCGGTCGCTCACTCGGTACCTACACCGCCTGACCAGCGTCGCGGTCGTACCTCGCTCCGTAGCCGTGGACGTCATCGTGAACGGAGTCAAAGCCCTCCGCCTCGGACTCGGGTACACACCCATCGATCACGCAGCCGATCTCGCAGCAATTTTCGTCGTGATCATCGGCGCCGCGAGCGCAGCCGTTCGAGCGAACGTGTACCCTCATCTGCCCCTCTGCCCAGCTCGGAGCGGAGGCAACACCAGGCGAGTCGCCGAGGGTCCAGTGACGACAACCCTGTGACAGCCTTTACGCCACCGCGATCTCGGTTCCTCCACGGGAGTCTCACCCGGTTATACCGATCGTCAGACGCCTTCGCCGCGCGGGCCTCCTGGCCCCAGCTACAACGACACCCGCGCAAGCGGTGATGGGTATTATCGTTCCTCACCGCACCAGCCAGGTCAACGCGAATATTTTGATCGGATCAATGATGACTTCCCTTCGCGCACCCAATGCGACTTCGACAGTGCTCGACGACACGCTCCGGACCACGCTCACGGATTTGATGACGATACCCTCGGCAGACAGCATCGCGCGGATCTTCAGGGTTCCGACCATCGCAGGCAGAGTTACGCGTTCACCAAGTCGCACAAGTAGGCCCGAGGCCACAGGGTAGGTTTGTTGAGTCTGATTTGATATCGTATTGGCAACTGTCTCCGCTTGACCGGGTCTCAGCTATTCTGCATCAAGAAACCTTGCGAGGTCAATACCGCGTGACCAAAGTGACGGCGAAGATGGTGTTTTCGGTGGATTTTGGTACTCGCCCTCTTGACCACTTTCTCCCGCCTGCGGAACCGGTGTGCCTACGGTACAAGACCCAACGCGGATGTGACTTTCAGACATGCAAACATGCCCACGCCCGTGTCGCTCTACCTACGGAGGTTGCGATGTTCATTACCAACAAACGGGTCCGCTTGCGTCGGATCACCCTAATGTCTCTACCTGATGCCGCGGAGGCGAATCACAGTGCAGCATCTCTTCGAATCCCAATACGAATCATGTATCACTGTTGTCTTCGCCTCGATTTATTTCTTGTCAGCCTCAGCCGATGGTACCTGCACCATGTGCGCTTCAGGACTCGACAACAGCCCACGTTCCACCGTCAGCCTTTGCACATTTATCCTGGCCAGGCCAGCTGATTATGGCATTTGATGGGGGAGCTCGCGCGGCGAGCGATGTGAGTTCCTTCGGGTGTTGTGTGTGGACTGAGAGAGATGACCTTTTATGGTGGGCATCCCGGGCGTCTAGTCCGGCCGGGACGAACAACGAAATGGAAGCCAACGCTCTCCTCTGTGGCCTCAAGTGGCTTGCCGAGTATCAACGCGATAAAACGATCCAGATATTTGGTGACTCGGCTCTTGTGATTGCATTGGCTACTGGGGCGAATCGAGTTCGTGCTCTCAATCTACGCGAATCTACGGTCAACGATACGCGATATCCGCCATGTTCCCCGCGAATTCAACACGGCGGCCGATGCCCTCTGCAACTGGTCCATGGACCGTGAACAGGTCGGACCTGGACTATTACAGGAGTTCGCACGTCGTGGCCCGTCGGCATACCAGCACCAGTCCACCCCGTGGCTCTTGGCTACCCTTCGGGCGTCCCGATCTGTCCCCACGGATATTGCTTTGACCAGTGGCGTTCTCGATGGTCACTGGTCATGCTAGACTTCTCTCGGATTGCACATCTGATTCGATTCCAGTCTCAACATCAAGGCGAGAGACCTATTGGGCTCCGCCCCAACTCCACTACACGTCGACACTACGGCCCGTTCAGAACGGTCTCAGTTCGACACCGCCATTCGGCGCGAGTGCTTCATCAACGGTATTCGACGATGCGTACCGCTTGGTGTTTTTCGTGCCTTTCAAGCTGTCGCTACGCGTCACCACTTAGCATTTCCAATCAATCACGTTTTCCTTTGTCCGGGCCCGGGGAAATTGACGATACCGCACGTTGACGCTCAACTTATCAGTGCCATTATTCGGATACCGCACGTGGGCATTGCGGGCGCGATGCGCTTGTTCCGCGGTCAAACGTCTCATGACGATCGGCCCAACAAAGCTCTCCGCACCCAGCTATACAGAGCTCACTTGGCGGGTTACCCGGACTTACCATTGCTTTGCAGCATAGCTGAACGTGGGGTTGTTCCGCACTGGCATACACCTGCGCAAAGCGGTGTACGACCACCTCCGGCCAACTACCCGAGTGCAGAAGACGGCGCCGACGTCGTTACCCATCGGCTATTGAAGGACTACTACAGCGGACGCTGCATCATTGCCACTGCAACGGATCTCCTGGCGGATCCCAGGTTCCATTCGAGCGCGTTCGCTCTGGTTCCAAAGAAGGATATTCCGCTGTCCGTCGACGGACGTACTATCCACGATCTGTCGGCTCCTAAAGGGCTATCTGTGAATGACGCAACCAACTCGGAATTTACGCCGGATGCTCGCTGGGATCCGTATTGCGCCATTGCGCTTCGTATTCTAGATCTCCGAACGAGATACCCAGGTTGCTCGATATATGCGCTCGTAGCTGACATCGCAGACGCCTTTCATCACGTGCCGGTGCACGAACGCCATGCGCCTGCATTCGGGGTCATTATACCTCGATCGCATATTGGGATCGTATCTGGGATGGCTGTCTTCGGATGGACAGCTTCGCCTGGATTCTTTGCGGTCATGGGCAAGGCAGCAAGGCATTATCAACGAGCCGGATGCTCTTATGTGCTCGGATACCCAGAACCGTTTTGGATATTCCAGTGGGTGGATGACATAGTTCTCGTTGAGGTAGATATCGGTGATAGACTACTACGTGCGGAGCGCAGACTGAGAGATGCAATTAAGCTCGTGTTTGGGTCTGAAGGCTGGCATGAGGGCAAGTTCCACACATGGGCACAGCGAGTCCACGCAGTCGGCATTGACTGGAACATCCCCGAACTCACGGTCACAATTCCGCAGAGGAAGATCGACAAAACAAAGGCGGGTCGTAACCGAGGCGCTGGCGAAGCGATTTGTCACACAAAAACGACTTGATAGCGTGGTGGGGGTGCTACGACATGTAGTCACCTTCATTCCTATTGCTAAACCGTTCATCCAAAGACTAGTTGCTGTCCAACTAGCCTCCAAACGATCTAATCGCAACGGGTCACCGATGACTCAATGGCTCAAAGCTGACCTCGAATGGTGGCGTGACCTAGTCTTTGAAAACGTATTCGCTGGGGTTCCCATGTCGATGTTCGGCGGAGATCCGATTGAGGCCGATGGTTGGGTCATTTTACAAGAAACCAACGTCGTGTACGTGTTCGGCCTAACCCCAAAACGCGCCCATCGATTCGAAATTAAGGGTATTGCGGACGACGCAGACCTTGCATGGATCGTTCTTCAGGCCGTTGAGCACTGGGTGGCCGTCGATCCCCACCAGACTACCTGGGGCCACATACGGATTTATGTGAAGGAGCGATGCCAAGCAAAACTACTGGAGACAATGAATAGCAGCGACCCGGAGGCTCAGCAGCATCTGAGGTCTTTAGCGCTCGCTCAGGCGCGAAGAAAGCTAAAGCTCACAGCGATGACACGAGGCGGTCCCCAGAAAATTGCCGACGATGTGCCGTCACCTCTGTGACCTGGAGTTGGCATCGGAGGCTGATTGGTGGATGACTTGGATACGGCGCAGCTGTATCCGTGTGACATGGATGGTGACTGTGGAAGAGAAGTGATTTCTCGGGATGAATCCAGCGTCTGACCGCAGATGGGCCCAACTGGCTGGAAGTGTGAATCCTGGGAGTGCACGCCCAGAATTTCAGAGAACACTCAGTCCAGCCGCGGACTTTCCCTTACGATGAGTGCCTAAAGTCTGGCGGAAAGTGTCTCTGGAGAATGTATCCCAGAGTACGCCTCATCTTGCTGTGGTTCAGAGTGCCCCAGAGGATCAAATTACCCTGAGAATCAACCCACTACTACCATGATCATGCGCAGGAGGCCGCTAAACCCACTAAAAGTGTGGCTTTGAGGAGATACACACGAGTCTGCACTGCAGCAGACTTGTTACCCAGAGTGCCGCACGGAAACCTAGAGTGCCGCACGATGACCCAGAGTTCACATCCCTGAGTGCAGGTGACCCAGAGTTCCAAAGATGATTCTCTGGGTTTGGACCATAAATCCAGACTCTCTATACTGAACTTAAGTGTTTCCCGAGCCAACACCCAAGCATCCCCACAGTTCCCCAAGATTCCTCAGAATTCCCAGAATTTCAGAAGATGACCCTGAGTGTCACCTGGTTTTCAGGGATTCGAGTCAGTTCGAAGCCAGTCTGCAATCAAAATGATGCGTGACCTTGAAGAACCGTCATGGATGCACAGACTGGATACTTTCGAGGAGTCGAGAGGGAGTCCTGTACCATACTAAACCAAGTCTAAGGACCCACAATTGGCACTTTCGATGCCGTGCGACAATGGATTCGCAAGCCGATCGCAAGATTGGACCGCTGATCCCAAGGTATACTCAAGACAAGACAGTTTGACCCCAAGCATAGTGAACAGAAGATATTTGCCCGAAGAAGAGAGAGAGAGAGAGAGAGAGAGAGAGAGAGAGAGAGAGAGAGAGAGAGAGAGAGAGAGAGAGAGAAGTAGCTGATAAAAACCAAACAGAGTTCCTTTTACCCTGTACTGCGCAAGTGACTTCGGCCAAGCCTGCCGACGGAAATCCGGAGGACCCGAGACTACGACCGCGGGACGCTAAGGGCACATTAACGGCGAAGGACAGCCGTCTGTGTGGGCTCCATCAAAACTCAAGTCCAGTTAGGTGGTGACCAGCGACGGCCTTGAGCATCCTGGGGTGATCCATCTATTCCATATCCTAGTTGGGTCACTTGCTGTGCTCGTGGTGGCCCATTTCATATTATTCCAGAGGGTATTCTGGGGTGCTAGGTAGTCGGCTCCAGGATTTTGTATTGACTGCTTGTGTGAAGGGAAGGTAACTGATAGTGATTGTATTTTCCTCCTTTATTGGAGGTGGTGCGCGTTTGTGTGAGTCTCAGGGGAGCTAGGCCCCTGAATTTCAGACTCGAGTGAGCCTAGTGTGTGTGTGACCCACCGTCCAAGGGTCCAAAAGAATAAGTGACGGCTAGTTGTAGTGTTTGTATACTCTGTATTTGTTGGTTTTATCAAGCTAGGAGGGCATTGGGGTAAGGTGTCTTCTGAGTTCCAAGTCCCAGAGTTGACGGAAATCCGGACCCTGAATTCGTGATATTCTGGGTTTCAGGGGATCTGATTCTCTGGGTTTGCCTTTTGGTGTGGAGGTGCGTTCTGAAGTCCCGCACTTCTTCGAGGCTACATTTTCAACCGGTGGAGTGCCATTCCGTCGAAGACAAACGAGCCGACAGGGATTACACAAGGTACCACGCCAACCAAGGAGTGTGATTCTCAGGGTTTAAAGCTTTGCGGCTGCGAATCGCTGGGTCTATCTTCTTGCTGTTGACTCTCAAGTCGATTCTCTGGGTCTACCCCTGGGGAACAGGCTTGGGCTGCGCTATACGAACCCCCCTGGGCGACAAAGGTTTCATCGGCCTCGCCTCAGCTGGTGCGCGTGCCCGGATTCGATTGGCGAGGCTTTCACTGGAATCAAGTGTTCCAGAAGTGCTGAGTGCCCGTCAACTTCAAGCTACCAAGATGTCTGGAGGGCGAGGGGCGAAGAAGAGTGGACGCGGTGACGGAGCACGCGGTGAGGCGTCACGTCAGTCGCGTCGTGTTCATGGTATGGAGCCTGAGGAGCACAAGGACCTGGAAACAGCCGTCCGCGACGCTCGGAAGGCGAAGAAGGCTGCTCGCGAGAGCGAGGCAGTGCAAGGTGGGGACGTCGAGGCGTCTGCAGTCCAAGGTCAGCCTGCTGCTCGATCGCAAACTCAGGAGGAAGAAGTTTCCCCTGGGTTCCAAGGTTCGAAGGAGGTGAATTCTGGGTCGCGGATTCCTGAAGTCCCAGAGAGGGCGGTGCTCAGGCGTCTGAGGGAGGCGCCAATGCGGTTGAGCCCCCGGAGGTGATTGACTTGGTCTCATCTTCGGATGAGTCTGTTGTGGAAGTGAAGTCGGAGCCCGTGCGAGCGAAGGAGGAGGCGAAGACTCAGAGTTCCAAGGTGAATTCTGGGTTCGCACCACCTGAACCCAGAGTTTCAGCGCCAAGATCGCAAGCGGCACCCAGGAAGACGCCTGAAAGCGACATCCGGGAAGCTGCTGCGCCTGCTCCGGAATCGGGAGCAGCGGCGTTGCACGCCGGGAGCATGGTGCTGTACGTTCGACGTGAAGTTCGACGCTGGGAAGAGGTGAATCCTGGGAAGGTGACGCCGTCAAGTGTCGTTTATGAGTGGCCGACTCCGAAACCGGATGCCAACTCGTACTTCGCGGCCGCGTACGCAACGTGAGACTACCTCAAGTGGCGTTTGTCTCTGGAGGATCAAGATGAAGCCTGGATCTCTGAGTTTCACCTCGCCCGGTGGGGCGTCGGAACTGCTCAGGATCTCATGGCGACTACGATTCCCCAGAGTATCATGACCACCCGCGAGTGCGTCGCCATTCTGCAGACTCTGTTCTTCGAAGCCGGATTTGAGTTTGTCAATTTGATCCCTGGCTGGTCTTTGACGCGTACTTCCAGGATTCCAGAAAGTCTGGTGCGTTCTGTCATGGAGGAAACCTAGAATTTCATCGCTGTGGAACTGGTCGAGTGGAGATTGGTGATAGCTGGTGTGCCTTTCAAGGTAAACTCTGAAGATCACGCCGCACCAAGCGCCCAAGAGCAAGCACCAAGACTGGACTACCACAAGGAAGATGAAGACGGTGATCTACTGATGACAGACTACGATGCGGATCCTATGGGCCGACGGTTTGTCCTGAGATTCAGAGTCACTGGACTCAGGATTTCACGGAGCCCACGAGGGTCGAGTGATGGTGAGCCACGATCCAAGCGTACTCAGCATGGACCGCCTCGGCCACAAGTCCCGTCAACGCCATCCGTGCTGTCTACACCGTCGCTGTCCTCTCTTCCAGCGTACAAGTCTTCGACTGGTGCCTCGCTTCAAAATTCCACTCCCCTGAATTCCATGTCCAATGGACGTGATTCTCTGGAGGCGGAAGCCAAGAACGCTACCCCAGGCGCGGTGCCAAGTGTCATCGGTACCTCGCGCGCTTCGGATGAGAGTACTGCCTCGGGCGTTCAAACGTTTTATGGTAGCTCTTCGTCTTCGTCGATGATGTCGCTTGGACAACGAGTTGGAGCTCTAGCGCTTGTGGCCCAGAGTGCCGGTGGCTTTGCAGCTGCCGGTGATCTTAGATTTCAGGTCACCCGAACAGTCTTCCCGTCGCGTATTGTGTTAGTCGACCAAGATGACGCTGAGATGGCATCGCCGGTGCACTCTGACCCAGAGATCGCACCCAGGAAGGCCGGTCTCCTCAGGATTTCAGCCACGACTTCCGAGCCGAAACTCAGGGTTTCTGCCCCGATTGCTTGATTTGGTGGTCCAAGGGATGTCAGTGCCGATGAGCGGAGTCAACACCAGAGCTCTAAGAGCGAGGTGCGCTCTCGACGCTCGACGAAATCCAGAAAATGATCTGGGTCGAGCGGCTCGAGTGGATCCAGAAATCTTGGATCAGTTTCGTCCGTGTCCGCGAGGTCTGGGCCCGCCCAAATCGAGCTGAACGTCTTGCGATAACAGCAGAAGTGGCAGGCCCCCATGGAACAGGAGCAACGCGAGTTTCTCGCCAGAGAACGCCTGGATGCCTTGGAGCGCGAGCGCCTCAGGGAACAACGTGACCTGGACGCGCGTCGCCAGATCCAGGAACTTACGGATCGCTTGGTCCACGCTGTGATCGCCCGAGGAGAAGCGGAACGGCGTGCGCAGGACGTCGAGGCTCGCCAGACCCAGAGTTCTACTGAAACTCAGGGGCTGACCCAGAGTATCACGGAAGCTGTACGTCTTGAGCGTGAGCGCCTGGATGCCGCCTACGCCGAGCGCTGGCAACAGCACGAAGCCGAAGCCGACTTGGAGCGCGCGCGCTGGGTTTCCGAGACCTACGCCGGTTGGAATGAACAAATGTCAACTATGGAGCAGAAGGTCCAAGAACTTGAGGCGGAGAAAGAGCGAGAGCGGGAGTCTTCCGAGAATATCCAGCGCTTCCACGCCGGCCAAGTGCGCGACCTTCGTGCAACATTGGCCCAAGTTCAAGCGCGTCGCGCAACCGTCGCCCCTGATTTGGCAACAAATGTGAGGTCGTCAGTGGCTCAGAACCCTGAAGTTGCAACCCGACCCCAAGAATCCAGTGGCGTAATCAACGGAAACGCAAGTGTCACAGGCCAGAGACGGGAGACAGCTGATCCGAAGAACACGTCCGAAGTCGCCGCCTCCCAGCTAAGAGCGACCCTCGCGCAGACTCCCGCCGACACTTCCGGCAGAATCGCGCGCGTAAAGCGGGGGACATGGCGCTACGGAGACCAAGGTGACGCAGGATGTCAAGCTCGAGCCTGTGTCTCTGGGGAAAACGTCGGATCCCAGGAGAACAGCGACCTCTAAGGCCTCGCAGGACTCTAAAGCAGACTCCAAGCGCTCTGCACCCAAGAAACACCAGCAGCAGAAGAAGAAGCGTCAGGATGTCAATCCACCCTCGGACTTAGACCCAAGCTCCGATTCCAGCGATGATGACTCGTCCTCTGAGAGTTCGGATGACAGTTCGGACGGGAACCCTGGGGTTAACCTGACGACGGCCTCTACGGCTCAAGCTGGCACTACGCTCCTGACGTTCAGACCGTACATCAACTCGAATACTCAGGGTGAGTTCGATACTAAGGCGTCACTCAGGGAACGCGTGCATTGGTGGGAGCGTTTTGCGAACATGGCGGCTCAGGGAGGTTGGTCTACGAAGATGCGAATTCAGGAACTCAAGTTGAAACTGCGCGTGACTGGTTCAGCCAGTTGCCCAAACACACTCGGCGTGACTGGAAGGAGTTGGCGTCTGCATTCAGGAAGAAGTACTGCAAAGCGCGCTCGTCGTACTCTGAACGTTACTTCACGATGGAGATGAAGAACTCAGAGAGCGCCCTGGATTTCTTTTATCGTCTGAATTCCGCCGCTGGGAAGGCTGACATTGACTTTCGCAAGTCTTCGAAGCGCCTGGAGAAACATATCCGGAGGTTCATCACGAAACTCAGGGACACGCGCCTCAAGACGTCGCTGCAGGGCCAGAGATTCAGGAGTATCGCTGATCTAGCGTACGCTCTGGAACAGGACGAAGATGTCTGGAGCCGCAGCGACCATGATGCTCCGCCACCCAGAGTTCGTGACTTTCGTGCCGACAACATTCCTCAGGGACGTTTCAAGCCGAAGCGACAAGGACGTGCGTATGTGACAAGGGGCGATGTCTCTGACTCTGAGCCAGACAAAGACCCTGAAATTCACGCGCGTTTCCAGGAAATCACGGACGAACCCAGAGTTTCAGCCCGAAGTGCGAGCGCGAATTCAGGGTCAACTCGTGAGATCTCTGGAGAAGAAGCTTCTACGCCTAGCGCTGGGAGTCTGGCGAGTATGAAGGGTGCCGAGTGGACTCAGACGCTGACGAACGAGGTCTATCGCGTGATGGGTAACATGGGATGGCGTCCACCGAACGCCCAACCAGGACCGAACGCGAACTCTGGATTCCGTTCCCCTCGCCGCGAAAACCCGAATTGGGACAAGTTCTGCGAGAAGTGCGGCAAGTGGGGGCACCCAGAAGGAAAACTGCCGGAAAGACGTGAAGTGTGATCGCTGCCTGGAAGTGGGTCATCCGACTCACTTGTGTCGCGCGCAACCGTGCGAGAACTGTGGCAAACTGCATCTCGGGAAACCGTGTGAAGACTGGAAGACACTGGAAGCTGTGAAGAAACTCGCCCGCCAAGGTGCACTGAAGGACATGCCGAGCCAAATCCTGGATAAACTCCTGGATGGCGAAGCAAACTCTGGGAGGCCGTCAAACCAATAAGCCCGCTGGGTGGGGACCCAGTACGCGCCGGGCTGAAGAAGACCCCAGAGTTATGTGTTCTAGTGTATGTAGGCCCGGAGCTGAGAACAAGAACCCAAGATAACCAACAATGCATGACTACTTTGACTCAGGATTTCATGACTTCCCCTGAAAATCAGCATCCTGAACAAGCGAACTCTGGGTCGGTGAACTCTCAGTACAAGCTGAACCCTGGAGAGCGCTACGAATGGTGGGAAAACAATGATCCTGACCCAAAGAAACGTGATGTGGCGATGGTGCATGGTGCTGTGAACGACTGCCGGACGAGAGTTCTCCTGGATACCGGTGCGACTGTGAATATTGTGAGCTTCGACTTAGCGCGTAAGCTCGGACTCACACTCAAGTCGCACAAGCAAACCAAGGTGTCTGGCATGGGAGGCGTTCCGACGTACATCGGTGCCAGTGCTCAGGTGAAGATTACTCTCGGTTCGAGGGTGATATATCTCCTGGATGTCTGGATTGCGAACATCGACGAAGGGATCGAAGTACTTCTGGGTATGAGTTTCATGTTTGCAGCTGGAGTGAGGATCAGTGTTCGCGAAGGTCTCGTGACACTTCCGGATGAAGAGGCGATCATGATGTTTGGGTGGACTCCAGAGGATCGCCTGGGTGTCGACATGCCTGTGGAAACCACAGGTAGTTGGTACCTGGCCCCAGGGGAATCCAAGGTGGTGAAGATCGCGTATGGACCGACGAACCCACAGCGTGAGGTTGTGTGGGCAGGACGAGGTGACCGCTGGGTAACGCACCTGATTTACGCTGCGAGATCCTGGCCGGTCGCCGTGAAGGTGGTCAACATCTCGGACAAGGACGTCTGGATTCACAAAAGAACGCCAGTCGCCCGAATTGTGGAGTACGGCTTCTTCCCACGTGCCGGACGCTTTGTGCGCCCTGGTTCGTTTGCGTATCGGGAGTGGCAGACTCTTATTCTGGAGAGTGTTCAGTCGCGTGAGAGCAGACTTTAGCCGGAACGCCTGGCTGCGCTTGAGCCATCCTGTGTCGAGACCCCAGAGTATCAGTGGCCTACGAAGATTCTGCCGCAACCTGCAAAGGGCCCCGACATGGCACTGCTTGCCTCGATTCTCAGGAAACCGAAGCCTCGTCGCGTGCGCTTCGCTGAAGACGCTGCAACTCAGACTGAAGGAGTGCCTCCTGAAGACCCTCCTGAACTCCGAGATGTTGCTGTTGATACGAGTGACTTGGGTGACGTTCTGAAGGAGGCGGTGACCGATGTTGCCTTGCAGACTGTCGGAACCCCAGAGGGCATGAGTCCTGAAGGTGATACGGCCGCTGAAACCCTGAGTTTACAGGTTGAAGTTGGCAGTGATTCTCAGGGTCAGTGGTGCGACGAAGGTGATTCTCTGGGATTTGATGTGGATGACGACGATTCTCAGGGTGCTGTTGATGATTACTGGGATGTCTCGATCTCAGAGATGCCGGGAACTCCGTTGGAGAAGCTAAAGCAGGAAAATGAGCGCTGCATGCGGCTTTCGACAGAGGACCTCGACTACGAGCCTGCGGTCTACTTACGTGAAGGAAGTGAGTTGCTCTCTCAGTTGCGTGACCAGTTGGTTATGCTCCCTGAGATGCGTGACTTGACCCCTGAGTGCAAGATCGAGGGGGCAGATGTTGGAGCCCCTGGGAAGACGACGCCCGAGATGGAAGACCAAGTGAGGCGAATTCTGGAATATCATCGGAAGATCTTCTTGGGAGACGGCAATGCAGCTTCCCCACCTGCCCGTGGAGTGGTTTGTGACCTGGATGTAGGCGACGCTAAACCTGTTGCCCAGCGTCCAAGGTCCATTGCACCACAACTGTGGACTAAGGTGTATGAACTTCTGAAGAAGCTTCTGGAGAACGGGCTGATCGAGACTTCTACGTCCCCCTGGGCATCTCCAATCGTGATCATCTTCAAGAAGAATGGCGTCGACATTCGGATGTGCATCGACTATCGCGTGGTGAATGGCTTCATCAAGCTCTCACACTATCCGCTGCCGCTTATTGATGATCTTTTGATTGGCTTTGAGTCGGCGATGTGGTTTATGAGCTTGGACATGGCGAGTGGTTTCTGGGCTATCAAGATGACCGAGAGAGCCAAGTTGATCTCTGCGTTCGTCTGTCCCTATGGGCACTACCAGTGGGTCAGGATGCCGTTTGGCCTCAAGAACGCGCCGCTGACCTACCAGGCAGTTCTCAATAACTGTCTGTGGGGATTTCTGCGGCTTTCCCCTGAGGAAGAAGCTGAGGTCGACCAAGATGCCTTGGCCTTTTTGGGGTTGAACTCTGGGGAACCCAGACTTTCAGTGTTGACGGATGAGATGACTGTTTTTCAGCGTAACATCCCGGCTCCCTCTCAGATGGGCCCTGTCCTGGGTCGAAGCTCGTATATCGACGACATCGCCCACGGCGCGCCTACTTGGGAGCAGCTGTGCCAGGATCTAAACGCGCTGCTCTTCCGACTACGTTACTGGAATATCTCTGTGAGTCTTCCCAAGAGCGAACTCGGGAAGTTGTCCATTCCGTACCTCTCTCACGAGATTAGTGCTGAGGGCATCCGAGCGACCCCTAAAATCGCGAAGGGGGTCCAAGACTTGCCGTTCCCGACGACACTGAAAGGCGTCCAGAGTTTCATGGGGAGTCTGAGTTATTACAACAAGTTCATTGAAGATCTACCCGTGATTGCGGCCGTCCTGTACGAGCTGACTGAGGAACAAGTGAAATCCAGGAGAGACCTGTCGAGAGCCCAGGAAGCCTTTGAAATCCTGAAGCACAAGATTGTTTCGACTCCGTTACTCAGACATCCTGATCGTTCAAGGCCGTTCGTGATTATTCCCCACGCGAACCCGTGGGCAGCATTCGCTGTGTTGGGTCAGGAGTACGACGGGATTGTGCACCCGGTTCGATTCGCAGGTCGCGTCCTGAATGACGCTGAGCTGCGGTATCACATTGCGGAAAAAGAGGCGATTGCTATCCTGAGAGTCCTGGAGGTGTTTCGCACTTTGGTTGAAGGCAGCCCTAAGATCGTCGTCTACACACGATATTCTGTGTTGAAGTGGTTGCTGACCTCGCAGTCGGCAGACGGTCGAACGGTGAAGTGGGGTCTGAAGTTGTCCCACTGGAACCTGGAGATACGCAGAGTTCAACGGGATGAAGACAGCTTGGCTGCAATTGTAGGTGCGGGTATTACCCCCAGAGAACACTTGGATGAGATCGCTGAAAACCTGATCCCAGCCAAGGGGCGCGTTAATCCTCCAGTGCCTATCAGTATGGAAATGCTGGAAGCGGACTGTGAGGGGTGTATTCTGAGTTTCGATGGCGCCGCTAAGATTTCCACGCGACAAGGGAGCTGTGGCTGCATTCTGTGGCATGTCCCTGGTTGGGAAATCCTGGATGCCCAGGGATTCATCCTGGAGGACGTGACTGTGAATGACGCTGAGTACCATGGACTTCTGAAGGGCCTCACTCTGGCGATTGAGCTTGGAATTCAGGACATCGTTGTGGTTGGGGACTCTAGGATTGCCATCCAGCAAGCCCAGGGTCTCATCAACTGCAATCAGCCAAATCTCCAGAGGAAGCTGACCGAGTATGAAGTGCTGAAGACGAAGTTCAAGTCTGTGCGGCTGGTGCATGTCAAGCGAGAGTTTAACCAGGCCGCAGACTACCTGACGTCTAAGACCCTCGCGCTTGGTGAATCCTGGAAGGTGGAGGATGCTGACGAACGAACACATCTGCAGTTGGTGTCCAAGATTCACGAGAAGTTGGTAAGACCGAAGGTGTTATTGAACGTTGGAATTCAGGGGAGTGATCCTCAGGGTGTCGAAACTCTGGGTATCCCTGGACCTGAGTGCGCTCCGTTGCCTGTGGCGGCAAAAGTGTTTGCAGTAATGACTCGGGCGCGAACTCAGGAGATCGAAGCCCAAAGCGAACCCATGGGACCTCTGGAGTACCAGGCGGAACGCTGGCGACGCATCAAAGTGCACCAGGACAAAGATGATCACCTGCTGTAACTCAAGGATTTTCCGAAAGGAGACACGACGAAGCTGTCGCACGCTCAAGCCAGGAAACTCGCGAAGGTCGCTGATGATTTCGTGTTGGATTCCAGAGAAGTCCTTTACCGCCTGAGTCGGTCTACCAGAGATCGACCCCGAGACATGGTTGACGCACACGGCGCACCCGGATGGAGTCGCTTCTCCGCGGGAAGCTATTACACCAGAGATGAAGGGTTATGTTGATGAGATGCTCACGGGCTTACTGAAACCCTCAAACGAATTCTTGTTCACTGCTATCTCCGCGAAAGTACAAGAGGGCACTTTCCAAGGACGAGCCCCCTCCAAGGAGAAGGTCCGGGGCTATGTGAAACGGTGGCGAAAGAAGAACCGAGATGGCTCTATGCAGCCCGTGATTGAAACAAGTGCAAACAGAAAAAACTTTTTAGATTTTCTTGAAACTCGCATTGATCTCACTTAAGTTATCGAGAATACAAAGAAGCGGGTTGGAGTTGCTACTGCGAATACTCCGCATGCAAGTCACGCACGGCTGCTCGAATTTTGCTGCAGAGCGCTTGAAAATCCTCGTGCGGAATGCTAATCGCATTAGTTCCAGTGTAGTCGTAGCATAGCTGGTTCCGCTGCTGCGAGAAGTTGTAGATGTCTGCGTCGAGCTCGACACCTCGGGCATTTTGAACCGTAAAAACGCGCTGCTTGAATCTTGAGGAAATGTCATCTGCAAGTGTGTTAATGACATAGAGTAGACGTAGAAGTCGTGAGCAATGATCTAAAGGGAAATAGATGTGAGTCTTACCGTGAGGAGGGACTGCAAAACGTTTTACAAAAAGCTCGATGTCGTGCTCCACCGCCGCTCCTGCTACGTAGGACGCTAGGCGTAACTTCAGCTCGGTGATTGCGTTCCGAAAATCAGCTGCCTCACGAAGCGCTTCCTCCAGCGCGGACTATGCAGCTCTCTTGACCTCCTGCTCAACAACGAATCTCTGTTTCCACCCGGCACTGTTAGGCGCGTAGCCATTACTCTTCTTCTCTTCAAGACAGTGAACGAGCCGCTGTAGGTCTTTCTGAATGGCGGATTGTTCCTGCTTCCACGCGTCGTTCAGATCTAGCTGTTGCTGCATGGCGTCTTGGCAGCGCCGCGCTTGCTTGCGCTTTTCGTCAGTCTCGTCTTCCAGGCGCCGGCGATCTTCCTCCAGCTTTTGAACTTGTCGTCGCTGACACGAACGGCTCCGTTGGCAAAGCATGCGGCAACCGATTCACGCCGAGCCTCAATCTCGATCTCATCACCACCCGCGTTGGTCTCGGCGTCGTCTGCAGCTCCCCCATTCCAAAAGGTGCTTTCGTTGTGGAATACGTCGGCGAGTTGCTGCTGGACAAGGACGGAATGACGCGCCCCGACCGTAGCTATCAGGTTCAGCTGAAAGCCAAGGCTATCTGGGACGACTCCACCGTGTTCATCGACGCCGCTGAGTGTGGAAATGAAAGCCGCTTCATCAATCACTTGTGCCGACCTAACTGCGCTCTCTATGAGTGTCAGTGGACGAACGGATCACGCCTCGCTGTCTTTGCGGAAACTGACATCCCGCCGCTGCAGGAGTTGACGTTTCGCTACTCCGAGAAGAGTCGTACATTTTTCACGTGCCAGTGCGGCGACAAGAACTGCGTTTCGAGCAACCAGTAGTAAGTTTCACCATTGATTAGTCGCTCACCTCCCTCATTTAATCGATTTCACAATGACACTCCACGTACCATTCGGTTACACTACATCCGTCTTCCCTTTGCAGTTCTCCATATGCATATATTCAGCTCGAATACGATCACCAGCCACCGGCGACCGCCATCTCCGTCATGTCGCCCCGCGACGAATAACTAAGTGTCGTAGATGATGGTGTAGCCACATAAACCTGTACTTTCGGTCGACATTCTTCCAACAATCCAAAATCTCACGCCAATCTCACAAATGCATTTTATGGACCCATGTAATAACCACAACACAATGTACTTACGTCCCAGAAAAATAATTGTGTGGCATTGCCACATATTCCACCAGCACATACCCAATGTTTACTTTGCTAGTGAGTCTAACCAAGCGCGTCTAGTCAGGGTACTCATCTTACCTACACCTACTCGGAGACAACAGTTGTAGGACGTATCCTCAGCTTCACGGCAACGCAATACCTCGCCCAGACGCAAAACCTCACTCACTCAGCTCCTCATTTGACGACACAAACTCAGACGGCGAACTGCTCCCTTCGTCGACTTCCAATGGTGGCGTCCTGCGGTGTCCCACATCTTCCTTCTCCTCCGACTCGTCCGTTGCGAAACCGGAACCCAGGAATCCGCCGACGGCGAGTCCTTGCCACCCGCCTCGTCACTTTCAGGCTCGCCCTTGCTCCTCTTAGGTGCCGGTGCTGCGTCACTAACACCCCCTCCCCTCTTCCGTAGAAGTCTCCTGTGACGGATCAGCTGCTTCACTGGCTTGCGTCGGGTCCGAACCACCTTCTTGTTGATCCTCGGTGTGTCCTTGATCGTTATACGAAGCTGTAGGCGCCAGAGGCGGTGGCGCACCAACTACTTGAAGCCTTGGAAAGGTAGTCACGGCGGGTGGAGGGGTGGCTGCTACGCCACTTTGCACCGCTCTGTTCCACGGCTGGCGGAGCTCTTGGATTCGTCGATCCTGCGCTTGACGGCGCCGCGCTCGCTCCTCATCGTACCGTTCATGCATTGATTCAGGAGCATTTTCGTCAGCCTGGTCCATTAAAAACCTGGCCTGCTCCAGGACCTCCAGCCTAATATTCAGGAGCCTGACTGTTATCTGCACAACAGGGCTGTTCGCATCGTATGTTTCCCTCAACCTGTGCAGGGTCTCAAACGCAGCAACGGCATGGGTAAAGGCAGCGATCTCAGTATGCAAGGCTCCCGCGCGGCGCTGGTTAATCTGATCCACCTTGACCCCGAATTCCCAGTCTATTGCGAAAACCAAAACTAGCAGTGAATGATACCAAGAGACTAACGATAGCTATTGACAAGTACAATGTGAAAGCAACAGACAACTAGGTCCGCCACATCGTTGTGTATTACACATAAACAGTCGCCACAGTAGAGGCAGATTGGCGATCGGCGCAGAACGCTGGCACCGTGCATTGTCAAATAGAAATACTATGGACAGTGTACAGCTAATACAGCTCTTACACTGTTTTACGTGGGTAGCCACATCTCCACACAGCCATACATTACGAGCGTGCTGCACCAAGCACTACCCAGCTGCCTCTACAGCGGGCGACCTCTATGTTATGTGTAATACACAACAGTGATGTGGCCCACCTTGGAAAGGCTTTAGATTTTAGAAACCTACCGGTAAGGTTCAATTGAACTTGAAGATAACGGTTGAAGTTCATACAAAACTCATACTGAACTCAAGTGACTCGAGCGACCCCGCAACTGCAAGTTGAGCTGCAAGCGCTGCAAAGGCCCCCGTAAATAGGCCTCTGACTCCATTGCCGCAAAGGGCGCATGGTGTCAACTTGATCAGACGCAGAGTAGATACTTCGCGACTGTTCGCGAAAAATCGCAGTACCGTTACTTTGCGTACATTTTCATTTCTAATAGCTTCTTCACACAATATTGTTTCAGCCCTAAACTTACTCAAGAGAAATACCGTGGATTGCTGAAAAATTATACCTAAGTTTATGGCTACACACGAGGAATTAACTGAGATCTGGGAGGCTGAATTTCGCCACATTCACAAACCCGACGCTGTCCCTTGTGAGTTTTACGGACCTACAAAACCCAAATGAGGTGCACACCAACTACACATAGTTATATATTGCACGTATGCCACGCAAGTGCTAGCTAGCTGTACGCACTCGAGTCCTGAGCCATCCAGCTGTTGGGTCGCGCTAGCTGTCCCTGCTGACGCGACCTCGCACTGGCAGGTTGTAGCATAGAAATCTGCAGTCTACAATACAAATTGTCTATCATTTAGTCAGTTGCGATGAAGTGGCGGGATGAGCTGTCTTGGTTCGCCTCACGGTGTAGCCACTACCCGTTTTGTTGATAAACGTTTTAATGACCAAAAAAACTCTAAATATACGTTTCTACAGCCCGGAAAAGCGCTTGTGCTTTCAGCCCTAACGCTAAAAGAATTTTCCTTCAGACTCGCTTTTATGACGTTTTCGTGTATTGATTGGCGAGATCCAATTCCGCCTGCGTGTGATTGGCGGGATCCTGTATATTCGATGCGTGATTGGCGGAACCGTGTTGCTGCGTATGATTGGGCGATGCGAAGATCCCGCCCACTATCGCGAGCGCATTTGAATCCGCGGCGTGGATTTCATTTTCCGATTTGCGAGGTTTTGCGAGGTGCTGCCCAAGCCCATCGATCTCACCCGTGCTGCCTGATGTGGTGACAAGATCGCCAGCCGCAACCAGAACTTCTGGTCAATGTAGTCAAGCGCAGCGGCGTACAACCCACCGAAGAACAGACCAACAGTTTGAAAATAATCACGCGCGATTTCCAGTCGAAGCAGCTGCGGAAGTCCAGCACGCGCTAAGAAGGCGGCAATAGTGCCAACCGTGGCGATTCCGCCTGCACGCAGAGCGTCCAACGCTGCATCCACCGCCTCCCGACTCTGTGCGAAGACGCCATCTAGTCCTCCAAGTCCCTGGGAAACGATGGCTCCACCCAACGGCGAGTTGTAGACCTTGATAGCCTCTGTGGTGCCTTCGGTCGTCGCGTCCACCACTTTAGTTGCAGCTTCAGCCAGAGCCTCCCATTGTTTCGTAGTAGCCTCAGTCAAGCGCAAGCACAAATCCGCCCATTGTTCTTCCGACAGAGTGTCATGGAGATGTTGCTGAAGCTCAGCACTTACTTCAGCTGTGAATGGTGTTCCAGTATCAGCTAAGGCGTGAATAGCCTCACGCAGTTCACGGCTTATCGCGGAGGCCAGGTCAGCCGACGATGATACTACCGCTACCAACAGTTCACCGATGGCTTTTGCGTTGAGAGTCTCTCGTGCAGTTGCAGCTATCGACTCCAACATCTTCTCAGCTTTCTCGATGAATTCATCGTTGATGGCTTCGTGGACGACGGACCACAGCGTCATCAACTCCAGCACAGGTTTCGAGGTCGTAGTGACGGCCACACAGGCGGCCATGGGTGTCTTGGTAGTCGCCCCAGTTGCAGTTAACACTCTTTGACAGTGGCCCGCAACTCTTGATCTCCTCTACAAACTGCACGGCGAGCACTTCACCCGAGACGGCCATGCGCTCCAGAGCTGCTAAACAGGCCAGAGAGACGTCTTTCGCGATGATCACGAAGTGCAGAAGCCGCCCCACGCGCCGGATCGCCGTCAGAGGATCAAGGTTCTCGCCACCATCGCCCACTGTGACTTCATAATGGTCGGTTGGCACTGGCGGCGCGGAAGCCATCAGTCACCAGCACAAAACGACGGAGAGCCCAACCCGGGTGTAAAGCTTGTAGAGGAATGGAAACGTGTCGAACGCCCCGAAGCGGGTGGTCCTCGTTCCTAAATTGATTTCAGGACGGGAACATACACAATGAGACTGTGCGTGTTGCGCTTTCACAGTTGGCATTTTTGCTGCGGGGTGGCTTCCACTGATGCAGCAGAAGCACATAATAACGGCCACTTCGACGGAGTGGTTTCCAGCACAATCGCATGTCCATCTACTGTTGTGTGCATGCGATTGTGCCATCACATTTTGTAATGTCATCAGTAATTGCAGAGTCGCTGATGCCAACTTGAAAGGTAAATGGGATGCTGATCAACTAGAACGAGGTTCGGATCAAATTAAGTGTATTTGTTTATGCGTAGGCAAAGAAATTCGAGTAGGTTGCTGTGAAACAAGTGCAGGCTAGCATAAGTTGTCTACAGTCCGAAGACCGCTTGAGCTGTCAGTGCTGCTAGAACTGTAGCGAATGTGGCAAAGCGGTGGGACGATGCATCGGATGCATCACCCGTCGAGACGGTGTGCCCCCAACGTTGCTGTACAGCTTCATGCTACTCTCAACGCACGCGTTTGTGTTGATCTTGTCGCTCGTGATCGTGTCCGTAGTCGACGAGTCCATTTGGTTGCAGCTGGTGTCGGCTGCCTGCAGGAACGTAACTGAGTTGTCCGAGTTGAGAGTGACTTGTGTCCCGATGTCGGTGTCTCCGATGTTGTGGCACTTGCCGTCAAGCGAGTACACGAGCGCGTTCTTGAAGGTGCCGCATGAGGTTCCATCGGCGTACAACTCTGCGAACAGGTAGGGCGAGGAGCCGAAGATGTTGTCCGTGAAGGCCTTGTAGCTACTGGCGCTGGTAACCGTGTAGTCGTGGCTGCCGTCGTAGTAGCACTGGTCGAGGTTGTAGTCGCTGCATTGCTCGTCCGGGAAGAAGGCGAGCGTCTTGGGAGCACTCCATGTTCTCGTACACCTTGAGGGTGGGGACTTCCATCGCAGCGGCCTGGGAGATACTGGCACAGGCAATAGCAGCGACAAGCGACGGTCGAGAAACCTTCATCTTTGTTGGTCTTGGCTGGTAAGTGGTAGGCTTGGACGCGTCAACTTTGACAATGGGAGGAGAGGAAGGGTCAGAAGCTCGGCAACTGCAACAGCTTCAGGCTCCAGATCGACACCAAGACTGGATAAGGCCAAGTTGAAAGTCCTTGCAACGTCTCGGAGGAGGTACTGGGGTTGACAGTGCAAGTATTATTAGGCGGGGTAAGGTCTTCTGCCAGTTTCGTGCCGTCCTTCGAACTTGCGGGCTTGCTGTGGCATAACTTTTCATTGAATTGTCCATTCTGAAATCTGATTACACCCGCTAAATCTGCGCGATTGGGCTGAATTTATGTACTTCACGCTGGTCCGTGTAAATTTTTCAGAACTTCTTGTTATTGTTTTGAAAAGCTTGTTGATTTGGAGTGAGCTGCCAGTTTCCTGCCTCTTTTTGATAGCATTTTTGTATGCTATGCAAATCCTAGGAGGCTCATCACCGGAAATTGCATGTGACGCTGGAAAAATCTACCAATAGACTACGAGAGTTTAACAAGGAGAAAATGCTAATTGGCTAAAACAAGTAGGCACGGAACTGGTTGTAGGCACGCAACTAGCACCTTACCTTATCGTTAATGGGGCTGAATACTTAAACCTTTACAGGGTGCTGCCCAAAATAAGCTTAACGACCACATAGGCGTCTCGTTCTGACCAGGCAAAACTCACTCTGCGCATCCCATTATCGTTACTGGACAAGCGCTTGATATAGAGTTTGAGGACGCGTTGTGGTCTTGTGGGGCTGGAGTAGACCAGCGATCACTTCAATACCAGCTCTCTAGCGTGCAAGAGTCCAAGAACCAGACACTCAAGAGCCAACCATGCGATCGTACGTCTTCGTTCTCGCGGCTGTGACCTGTCTTGTGACTACCAGCGATGCCCAAGCCGAGAAATAGAGCGCGAAGACGCGTTGTGGTTATTAGTAGCATCAATAGACGGACGATCACTTCGCAATTCAACCCTCAACCAAAACTTCAAGACCAACTATGAGGTGCTACATCCTCGTACTCGCGGTTATTGTCAGTCTGTTAGCTATGGTTGATGCTGCGTCGGCGTCTGGGGTGGCTGATCGAGACAATAAGAGAGAGCTGCGTGCAGAGGAAGTGTCGGGGTCCGGAGCCAACAAAACAAGCGTTGGGAAGGCGAACTTTGGCTCGGTCTTGATCGCCATCCTGGAGACGATCGCGGAGAGTGAGAAGATCAAGAAAGCAGAGCGGCTGCAAAACTGAAGGGCTGATCCGGGCACACAAAGCGTCGGCTGCCTACCCCAGAGAAGGCCAAGGTAGTGAGGATGTAATAACAAATTAAGCAACGATTGAACGTGCATACGGTATCCACGGCAAATTTCGCGAATTGATTTTTATTTAGTTGGATCATACACACCAGCTCCATCACCTCGAGTCTAACCTTCGAAGTCTACAGTGCAGTATAGGCGGTCTCTGTATCAAGAGCGATGAAAACGCACACAACACCGCCTCGCAGTGGGCTCTGGTCCAGAGGCTCTTGATCCGATCTTTGTCCGTCTGTACAGTTAGCTGGCAATCCCGGCAGCCGAGGAAGGTTGGAAGAAGAAAGAAGTAATTTAGTTCAAGCTCTGTTAAATTGGTTATTCTGTCAAATAGATTTGGTATGTCGAACCAGAGCTATTCATCGCAAGCTCGAGTTGTCCATTATGGTAGAGAAAAACCCCTCACTTCCTCGAGGATCCGGCTTTCTTGGCTTTCTCGTTGTCCATGATATGCTTCAACTTGGAGATCATGTTCGCGCCAAAATTCTTGTCTCCGGCGTCCGTTCCGGTGTTTGCAGAGCCAGCTGGGAGCACTCTTGGGTTCAGTCTTGGTATTATCCTACTGGAATAGGAATGATGGGGTGGCACGAAACGAGTCCTATTTTCATGGACCAGAGCAGCATCCAGTTGCAACAGAACACGCGTTCACCTTCTGACCTTGCACCTTCCTTCCAGTTGGCCTTGCGACCAGTTCCATCCACCCATTGTCCGAGTAGCCGAGAACCTAGCATTTAACGCTCAACACCGACGAAGATGAAAATCCCTCGGCCGTCGCAGATTGCTTCCATCATGGCCCTCATTGCAGCGTGGGTGTATCAAGCTGAGGCAACACCAGGCCCTACCATTCAAGTCTTCGAGAACATTGGGTGTACAGGCACCCCCACGTCGATCGTATTCGACGGAACCAGCTACTGCGGCAACTACGTTCTGGGGCAGTGCACCAGTGATGGCCACAGCAGCTACTTCGTCAGTTGTTCGGAGTTCTCCCCGACCAGCTTAGACGCTCTATTTGGCAACACGCCATACCTGATCGCGTCCCTATACGCGTTGGGGTCGTCTTGTGGGACGATGATCGGCGCTTGGGTCTGGCCACTGGGCAACGACGATTGCCACCCGATGCCTCCATTCCCTGGCATGGTCGGCGTCGAAGTCGAGCTCAATTCCGACAATTCCATCACAGTGGAGTTCGCCACCGACAACCTCTGCAGCGATATGAACGACGCGACAGAAGCCACGTACTCGAGCTCCATGATCAACAATAACTACTGCGTTGGAGGCAATACGAGGTTTTACGTTCGCAGTCCGGCAACTACCGGGACAACAACGACAACCGGTACGACGGGTACGACAACGACAACAGGTACGACGACCACCACAACAACCACTTCGTTCAATCCATCGGGGGCCTCGACAGACCCACACGTCGCTCCTATTGCAATTGCCGCGCTGGCAACAATGCTCCAAGCATTCGTGGCCTTCTAAGGGAATGGTTCGCACTGAATTAAAAAAAATATGATAGATCTCATAGAGTATCATAGGCCAGGGGAGATACGCGACAGTATTGAAATTTCTACTTCGTTGTTCTTTTTCGTCGTGTCCCGGACTAGTGTGGCTTGCTTTGGCTTTCCATTCTCTCTTAGTCGCCAGTAACCATGGCACCCGCCATGTATTCCAAGACGTACCTCGCGCTGACTCCGGTTGCTGACGCTACCGCTCGCGAACGATTGCTGCGTGCGGTCGCTCCTACGGTTTACGCCGGGACGCCAGTCAACGACGACGCGCTGTTCAGCGCGATCCTGGAGCGTCAGCTGCGAGAGGTTGAAGCTCAACGCGAGATGGTGACGCGCCACGAAGTTCTGGCTGCTATGGTGAGATCCGAAAGCGGTGGCACCTGCCGTCATGCCGATTCAGTGACTGGGATCCAGCGATGATGGCCGCGAGTGCTGAGTTTGGGCTCGGAGCATCTGTGGTACTCAACGTGGCTTTCGAGAAATGGTCTGTCGAAAACTAATCGTTGTAGTTGTTTGCTGTTGCGATCACTCATAGGTTTCTAGCAGCCCGTCACCTCGGTGTATTCTACGGCCTTGAAAGGATAAATACGGCACATAATGTAAGCGCGGAATTTTGCAATGTGTGCTTTATACGTTGAGGCATCAATTTGGGCTGAGGATGGACACTTTCAAAAGTTACACGAGGATGTGGGCCAATTCGTCACAAGAAGCAGCAGCCTACCAAAGCAAGGTCAGGGGAAGATGACATCGAAGATACAGGCGCTATCCCGAGCGATGCACTCATATAGTGAGAAAAGGTAAGCACAAGCTTCCCTTGCTTCCATTTGGCAGCCATTTGTGAGTCCAGTCAAGACTATTGTTCTCTTGTTGAGAACCTGCAGCTGGACGAGAAGGAAAGGTACGAAGAACATCGACCGTCAACTCACTGAAAATGCTGTGTCTTCGAAAAGGAAAGAAAAGAGCGGCAAGATACTCGACGGTGTGCGGGAGGATTTCATGAAGCGAGGCACAACCCCAGACCAATAACAAGCTCAGGCTGATGCAGAAGAAACGAAGCAGGGAGGCGAGGTGACAACGGTAAAGGAGCTCTTCTTGTGAGATGGCCCTCCCACCCACGAATAAGATTAATGGTGAGTTTTGACGCTCTCGACGAAGATTGAGTTGGAAAGTATGAGAATAACGTCTGTGGTATGCGTCTTTAGACGCGAGGTGATCTTCAAATGGCGGTGGCAGTGTTGCAGCTTTGTTTAAACGTCGCTGAGGTAGACGATGTATTTGGCAGTGTTGGAGAAGTAGCTCAAGTGAGCTTTGCGTTTGATGCTACTAAAATGATTCGGGCCATCTTGCAGATCACAAGTGCTGACGATTTTCAAAATTGACTAACACGTTCGAAGCATGAGAAAGTATTCGCCACACTTCCAAATTATTCGCCCCGCGGCTCCTCAAACTGGCAGAAAGGTTTCCCTTATGAACCTCGCTCTGACTCCGAGTTGGAGCAACAGTGGTGTTAAAGAAATTGCTACCAGGTTTCGAGGCTGATAGCTACAACACATAGCCGAATAGTACAATAGTGTTAGGTGTAGCTAGTGTGTTGTGGTTGAAAATGAAATGAAACTTCAGTGCAACCTCCTACTAAGTAGTACCGAATTATGATTTGTAAATAAACCCTGAACGTGGAAGGGGAAACGTCTGACAACCAATTCCATTCAATTCATTACCTTGCAAAGATGTCATTTGCCTCTATTAACTCTGTGGAAAGATCCCCAAAAAGAGTTAAAAAGTCAAACGCTATTACGCGTTACTTGCTGCCGCCCTCGTCCCTTCGGCACATGCCCTTGTGCAGCACTCTCCACGTCTGGCCGTTATCGCAGTTGTCGTTGTGGAACTGGCACGGACTGTTATACACTCCACGACAAAAAGATATGGACACCACCAAAAGTGGCTGTAACTTCGTCAATTTTTATCGTTTTAAGGTGCGGTTTGGACTAGAGTTGCAGAACACGCTGATAAAGATCTGCACGTTGCTAACACGCGCGCTTTTGCGCTTCTTCAGGTAGCTCAGATACAAATCACTGGTTCTGCCCAGGTGACAAAACTTATGGACAGCTAATCCCTATACAAAATCCTATACTAACCAAAAACCCTTACAAATGATACGGCTTGGACTTTGTATGGGGCGACAAAGGAACCAGCCTCACGGCGATACTCGCGACGTTAGACAAAGATCTGATGGCATTATCGTGTACTAGAAGGTGTGTTTAGTAACCTGTAATAAATACATCGACCATCGCACAAAACGGAGCAAGTAGTAAGCGACTGAAATTTCGAGTGGTGGCTACCATGTATTATCTAATGATTTGCGAGGCACGTTCAGTTGCATCCTAGTTAGTGCCAATTTGTAGCTCTGTATGCTGCTACCTCTTGGATATACGATTGTCTTCTCCATTCTAAACTGTTGGTCGATGATATATGGCTCAGTCCTAAGGTAGAGTGGAGAAATCATGGGTTCCTTTGTCGCCCCCTACAAAGTCCAAGTCGTATCATTTGTAAGGGGTTTTGGTTAGTATAGGATTTTGTATGGGGATTAGCTGTCCATAAGTTTTGTCACCTGGGCAGAACCACTGAAGAAGCGCAAAAGCGCGCGTGTTAGCAACGTGCAGATCTTTATCAGCGTGTTCTGCAACTCTAGTCCAAACCGCACCTTAAAACGATAAAAATTGACGAAGTTACAGCCACTTTTGGTGGTGTCCATATCTTTTTGTCGTGGAGTGTAGGTGACACCATTGCTTCCGCAGACGGAATGACTTTCCCCGGTGCAAAGCATCTTGTCGCAGCTACCATCTTCGCCGGCGAAGCATCCGACGATCAGGAGAGAGGCGAGAACGGCAATAGCGGCAAGCTTCACGACTTCGATTCGAACGAGTGGGTGACTTGGTTGGATCTTGGTAAAATTGAAAGTGGTCAAGCCCAGCAGCGCCCGACGAGTAACTTGCGAAAGCGCCGGGTAGGACCGGATAAACGGTAGCCTTGCAAATACTAATCGCCTGGCTCATTTTCCTCAAGGTACTTCAAGTTGATGGTATGGTAGAAAGCCACGAGACCACGCCACTGGATGGGGTGATAGGTTTGTGTAGTAAACTACGGTCGTCTTGTAGTGATTTGAGGAAGTACTCGCGTACTAATCGCGAGCCTACATGTATCACACTCACAAATGCAATGGCGCACGTCGTAGATACAATCTCAAGAGGGTACACAACCTTACGACTGGATAAACTGGCTTCTGCTGTTCAGCGGCTCGAAAAAGCTTTGAAAAGGATGGTGTTCGAGGCATTTTGAACGCGCGTTCTACAGTAGAACTTCGCCAGAAGAAATAGGAAAGCAAAGTAAAATGGGTAACCTGCAGTCTTCTACGGTGTTTGGCTCTCGTATTCTGCAAAACATTCACAAGCGAGTTAACTGCATGATGGTAATTCTAGTGAATATACTTGGCGGATACAATCATCAGAAACTAATTATTAGGTCTGCGCTTACAGCGTAAGCTGCACCAATGCTGATAACAGAAAAATGGGATCACTCCAGGGGCGGAATCCTACAAAATCTTGCACTCCAGGTATGTCCGAGCAGGAATATCTCTTCATTTAAGGAAAGTTCTTAGCGTTTCCTCATTTTAATGGGTAGTCATTCAGTTTCGATTTTCTTGCTTCGGCACGAGCCCAAAATGTACTCCAGCTCGTATCCCGCGCTCGCTCCCGTGGCATACCCTTCATGCCGTGAAGCTCTCGCGAACTGTAGAGCCCCCGCGATTGCTGCTGGGACTCCTATCAGCAAGGATGCACTGATCCGTGCTGTGTGGGAACGCGGAACACGCGAGATGGCTGGCGGCAGAGGCGTCACGTGTGCTGAAACTCTGGCTGCGAGGATTCGTGAGCACGCGATCATGGCGAAGCACGCTGAGGCAGCGTACTCAAAGAATACGGTCGCGTCTACGATCAAGCAAGAGAAGACGACTTGATTTACGGTGCGTTCAAGCAGCCGCGCAGGAGTTTTTGGACCGTGGCATCACAGTTGCAAGACAGATGCCAAAATCGATCTTTGTCGTTTCAGAAAAACAATCTTATAAGCCTTTCTTGTGCGAAACTATGCCGTGCGAGTTCCGCGATCGCACAGGTTTCGCAATTTTGATGTTGTTTGTTGTTGGCTTATTCAATGCCAGAAAACGGTCTTTTCGGAAAGCGTTTCGAAAGCTCACAAAGGTTGTGTGCCTGCTCTTACAAGATATACAGCTAAGCCACCACGATGTTGACAACTTCTGCGCCTTACTTGAAAGTAGTAATGAAACAAACTCAAGATATTTACAATGACTCGAAAACCATCTTTTTTCATCGAGGTGCTAGTCTCATTGGCGAAGCTGGAGAAAATCGACAAGCTACAGGATATGACGGCGCTGCTGTGCGTGGATGGCCTCGTCACGACGTGATCAAGAATCCTTTCCATCAAGTGCAGATGGTCTTCCGACAGCGGTGCACGTATTTGGTAACTCCGACGTTAAACGGCGATGAAATCCTGGTGCCACGGTCGGATCGTACCAAGGTAAACAAAGCTTTCGAGAGACCAGGTGCACCTGCAGGCGGCGATATTTTCATGCTAACTCAGTTTGCGGAAGGCGCACAGGAAACACGCCGCTACGAGGTGATCCACTGCAGGCTTGCGAACCTGTTGGATACCAGCAAAGTAGTGCGCCATGAAGAGCGAGCAAAAGCTGCGGGCGCCTTGGATATCTTTCTGCTGACTACGTCGGCGAAGTTGACCAACGAGTTCGACCTCCCACCGCGGTGTGGCATTGTTTCGCACGACGAATTCCGCGAATACTTTGGGCCGTATCCCGGGCGTATCGGAGCCTCGATCCTCCTAGCCTCAATACCGCGTGTGAAACGACGGCGGAAAGGTTAAGTTCATCAGAAGCACATTAAAGAATAAGGTCTGGGGCTAGAAGGGTTAAGTAAAGGAATCTCTGAACCAGCGGGGCTCGTTTTTTTTTTTGCCGTAGCTTGGTTTTCTCGTCGAAGTATAGGAGCGATGTACAAAAATATTTTTTCCTCAATATTTTTCGTTTATAACCATGCGTACGTAAAGCACAGTGCTCTTCTCAAGACCTCGGGGACTGGACATCGACGCCATTAAAATAATTGTCGCGAAAACATAGTTCTCCAGTATTGACCAGGCCCCCTAAGCGTTGTCAGAATGGGCAAGAAGAGCAAAGTCTCAGCGGTGCTGCGATCGCTCTGCTGTGACTGATCGATGTGGAATGAGGTAATAGTGGATAAATGGTAGTATCATCAATAAACTGATGGATTACTCTGTGTACATTGCTCTGGTTATCAAAATTCTAAGCTTAGCAGAAGAGGAACGTGGGCTTGGCCGCCTTGGGCTGGCACATCCGCTCTGCGCGCTTGTTGCCCACGATTCGCTGCATTCGCAGCAGGTCCAGACGCGTGAACAACGCGATCGAAGACTTGCCGTCCGTGCTATCCGCGAATCCGTCGTCGTTGTGTCCTGTCGTGTCACTGCTCGGCAGCATGTTCATCATCTCGGCGTAGAAGTCCCCCATCACGGGCAGGCCGTACCAGATGAGCTGGTGCACGCCGCGGATCTGGTACTGGTGGTAGAAGTGGAAGCGCTCCGTGTACAGCATCACGTGGCAGTGGCCGTGGAAGAAGGTCGTACGCGCTCGAGACACCTGCTTGCTCGTCGTGTACTCGCAGCACTGCACACTGCGGATCAGCTTCTTGTTCATTGTGTCGTTGAACAGGTTGCGCACGCGCACGTAGTCGAAGTAGGACGGGATGAAGATAAGGACGTGCTTGCGAGGGTGATCCAGCAGCGGCTCGAACACGTGCTTCTTGAAGTAGGCGAAACGCAGCTCCACCTCGTCCTTGGCTGTGAGGCGTCCAGAGTGGTCCAGGTCCACGCGCTGGAAGATCTGCTTCACCTGCGGCACCACGCGAGAGATCGAGGCCGAGCCATCGGCAGCGTCGTAGCGGCGAACATACTTGACAACTCCAGAAATGTTCCTGCACGTCTTGTTCACAAGCGCATTGAGCGCGGGCTCCACGCCATGCGCAAACACGACCGTCTGTCGGAAGTACGAAGCCAGGAAGGCCAAGTTCCACTCGCGCACGCGAGCAAAGTCTGCGTGAGGAGCTTCCTTGGGCTGCAAGTTCGTAGCACGCAGCACCGTGCGCAAGTGCTCCAGGTTCTGCATGGCCATGAGGCTGGCCGAGTCTACAATGCACACCTCGATAGTCGACAGAAAGTTGCTCGACAGCTTCACGTCGTCACTGGCTTCGGCTTCGTCCAGCAACGCGACTTCGTCACCGAGCTGCTGGCGCAGTCCTAGAGGCGAGGCGATGATAATGTCCGCGTGGTGATACTCGCTGTAGAATCGCACTGCCTTGCGGGAGAAGGACAGACCCAACTGGAAGCAATCGTCGTTGTTGCCCTCGTCGAACACGCGCTGCCACTCCTTCTTGCCATCATCCTTGGACGGTTCGTCCTCGTCGTCGTCTTCGTCCTTTGCGCTGCCAAACTCACCAAAGAACCGGTCCTTGTTGTGGAACGTGTCCACAGTCGCAGGCAGCAGCTCCAGCAGCTGCTTCACGAAGGCCATAGCGGCGCTGCGCAGGGGAAGCAACACAAGCACGCTCGCGCGACAGAAACCTTGGTCGCGGTACTCCTTCTCCTCGTCATCATCCTCCTTGCCAGCGTCGCGCTTCTTGATACGTTCATTGTTGCGCGTAACGGTGTCGCGCGCCTTGAGCACGTGGTTCAGCACGTGCATCGCGCTCACCTGGCGCAGCGTCGCCGTGTTCTCGTACGTCTGGCCAGCGAAGAAGACGTCCGTGTACGCCGACAGCTGCTGCGACAGCGAGCGCTCCACGGATCCCATGGGAAACGCCGTCTCTGCATCCAGTCCGCGCTGCTTCCAGGCCGCGAACAGCCTCGAGCGCACATACGCTTTCTTGCTCTGCGCTTGCTCTGGCGTCGTGACGACTCCAGCCACGCCGCTAACCTCCGCATCCACTCCAGTCCGGTACGTCACATCATACGCCTCGTCTTCCGCCAGCACCGGCAGCTTCACCTCCGCAAACTTGCGAGTCTGAGCGTCGAATTTACGAGCGTCCTGCTCTGTGAAGGAGCTCAGCAAGTATCGTCGACGGTACGGGTCCTCCTGCTCCTCCTCTTCGTTTTCCAGCTCGACTTCATCGTCCTTCTCCATCGCCGCAACCTGCTCTTCGACCTGCTGCTCCTCGTCAACCTGCTCCTGCGCCTCCTTCTCTCCATCCTCCTCATCCTTCTCCTCATTTTCTTCAACCTCCGCAGGCTTAAACGCATTGACGAACTCGTCAAACAGCGAGTTCTTCTTCTTGCCGCCCAGCGCGTCCTCCCCGTCACTGTCACTGTCGCTGTCGCTGGCCATCGCATCATTGTCTTCTCCTTCCTCTTCGTCGTCCTCCTCGTCCCCACTCCCGTCCTTGTAAATGGCGTTGGCCGTCTTCTCCCACGTCTCGTGAAACTGCTCGCGCTGCCAGCGCTTCTTATCGTCCACGGAGGCGAAGAACTTGCGCTCCTTGGAGCGCTGCGCGATCTTCTTGGTCTTCCACTGGCCCATCATGGAGCCCTTGGAGCTGCCGCGGCGCGGCTTGGGCTCATTCTCGCTCGAGACGGCGCCGCGCTTGGCCTTGGGCTCGGCGTCGTCCCACACGTTGGCCTTGCGCTTGCGCGCGCCCTTCTTCTTGCCTCCTCCCTTGCGCGCGCCCATGCTGGTCAATGACGGCAACTGCCCGGATCGGAGCCCAACGGCTAAATGGCTGGCCGGAAGCTGGCGGTGCGCGGATTGGCTGAAATGGGAGCTGGCTGGATTTTCAGCCAATGAATATGTGTTGTGTGTCACACATAAGCGACTTATTTTGGGGGGGATGAGCCCCTTCGGGGAAGATGGCTACATTGGTGACACATTGGGAGCGCGAGTGCGTTGAGGCCGTTTGGGCGATGGGAACCATGGACGCCGCCGAAGCGAGGGAGATTGCGCAGTGCATGAGCGACGAGGAGGACCAGCAGAGGCAGGCGGCGAGGTTCCAGGCCCCCGAGGGCGAGGACGCCGAGGCGTGGGCCCTCCAGTCCGTCGCGGGTGTGCTTCAACGAGTGCAAGAGGCTCCGGGAGACGAGTACGTTGGGTGAGCGCCGCTGGGTGGAGCGACGATACTGACGGAAACGTTTTATTGCCGACAGAGTGAGTGTGGAGGCGCTGGTGCGGCAGTTGGAGCGGCTGCCGAGAGAGGCGCGAGCACACCAGCTTGTGCGTTTGCTGCTTGAGACTCGAGAGGAGTCGATCCCAAAAGAGGCCGTGTTGGGGATTTGGGGCAAGCTTGTCGCGGGGAATAAAGCAAAGGGTGGGTCCTCAGGTGGCCAGAAGTCGAGAGCCAAGAGCGCAGCTAGCATCCCCATCATTCGAAGTCGGTTGCTCGAGGTACAGCGCCAACGCTTATGATATCCTGCCACTATGTGAAGTACTGACGATACTTCCTTATCTGGTGTAGTCCAAACGAAAGCAGGCTGAGTGCGACCTCAAGTTACTGCAGAACCGAATATCACTGCTGCAGGTGAGATCTGAAGATGCGTTACTTGAGCTGGAGACCCAGGTTTTAACGATCCTGTTCGTATATCCCAGCACGAAGAGTCGAAGGCATGGAAAAAGATCGCGCAGACGAAAGATCGAGCTCAAGAAATCCTCGAAATGCGTCTAGCTAGCTTGCAACGCCAGGAAGAGAAGTCAATACACGCAGTCGAACGCGAACGGCAGTCTCGTACGGCACAAAAGAAGCAGCACAGCCTCAAAAAGGAGTCGGTGATCAAGAAAAAGCACGCTGCCATTCAAGTAATCTCAAAGAAGTATCAGGACGTTGAACAGGTGAAGACTGAGAGCAAGCGGCTGAAGGCGGAGCGTGAACGATTGCAGTTGTTGCAAGTGGAGCGGGCACGAGCAAAGCGACAGGCCATTCGAAGACAAGAAGATGCACTGAAGAAGAAGAAATTGTTGGATCGCCAACATGTGGACGAGGAAGCAGCTCTGCGGTTAATGAAGAAGGCCATCGCAGAGGAGCGACAGATCCGAGAGCACCGTAAAAAGGTGCAAGAGATGGAGGAGGCAGAACGGGCCTTGATCCAGCGGTTGCAAGGAACCCAACTTATTCAGAGAGAAGCGTATTCAGTTCTCGAACAGGCTCTACTGCGAACAGATCTAAAGCGTGCACATTCCGTTGCCCCGTTGGGCGAAAGGTAAGAACAAATTCAGCTGATGAGCTAGCATAGTCATATATCGCATAATATTATGTCAGTAAATCCATTAATGTGGCTGTTATTTTGAATTAGCTGTCCGTACGGTAAGATCTACCCGACTTAACCAACGCTATCAGCTTGAAACATCATTAGTTCTCCGTCGCTTCAGACTCGACAGTAGGCACAACAGCTTTTCCCCGATAGACAGTCCCAGCGTGTTTCTAGCAATGACACGAAATATGTTAGAAACCCCAAGTTCCAGAGCTTCTTGGGGTCATAGGCACGACTTTGTCAATCTTAGGTAACTATTCTGCGTACGTCGAATTGAAAACTTGAGAGCTTAAGCATGAAATTCGTTCGGCATCGCGTGCCTGCGGCCCGAAGAAACTCTGAAATTTAGGATTATCTTATTATATTCGGTTTCATTGTACTGCTAAATATTTTCTATGTCATTCAGCTGAAAGCGTGGGAGGACAAATTCGCCACAAGTCGTGTAGGACGGAGCTCTCTGCTATCAGGAAGTCCGTGTACTTTTGCAGCGCTCAGCAGCTAGTCTATTTATCGCACGCGACTTGAGAATTTATCCGCGAATTTATTCTCCGACGCTTTCAACTTGGTGATCTGAATGACTTTGAAGACCTCCATGTGCTTGATGAACTTTTCGAACCTGTCTCCGGAGACATTGGCAATGATAGAGCCCGCTACGATCGAGTCGACAATGACTCCTAGCCCGGCAAAGGCAGCAACACCGATAAGGTCGTACAGAATGAAGACGACAACCACGATCTGGATGGGGATGGTTCACTCGACGTTGACCTCGAGCGCCGCCTAGAGCGTTTTGTCGACATTCGACGAAAAGAGGTTGCGCGTTGGAGTCCCCTTTGAGCGACGCAAGACTTTCCTTAAAAGCTGTTTCTTAAGCGACACCGTCAGTCGGACAGCGATCAATTCGATGTTGAAGTGCACGTGGGATAGCATGATGGCGTTCGCAAATCGTGATGCGAAGAACACGCCACAGTATCAAGTCGTCAGTGACGACGTGGTTCAAAGCAGCAGGGGCGAACACGTTGCGTGCGGGTGAAGAGCGTAGAAAGAAGGAGCCCCTGTCCGTGGTGGCCGTTGCCTTGATGATGGACTTGTCGTGGCACTCGTAGTGCCTCACGAAGTCGTCAAATGTCGTGATGAGTTAGGCTCGCGATAGTCTTAGTACAGGCTGGGAAGGACTGTTGTGGCCAGTGCTTGGTTTAATGGTCGAACGCGAAATGGAAAGTGAGAGAACAGTCATAATAGCGAAGCAGTGACTTCGTCCTCTGTCCATCAAAAGACGCAACATGATTGATGTTTAGCGTCAAGACCACCCTAACGTATTTTTCTATCGTTACATTCTGATCGGTTAATGCAAGATTTCGACTCAGGTCGCTCGAATGTGGCTATTTGGGGTATTTCACACAACCTTCCGCCACAGGTAACATTCACTAAAAATCATCTTAGGCGGGGTATGCGTCTTCTTCCACTCCACTGTACTGCAGTTGGACTGTCAATTTGTATTAAACCCTGCCTATACTGCTAGATGTCGATGAATCAAGCTGGTCAGGTATGAACTATGGGATTAACAAGACCAGGGATTCCAATCGCCCCCTTAACTCTGAAATAAATTTAAAAAAACACTCGCGGAAGGATAGCATTCAATATAGTGAACCCACTTGAAATAAACGTTACTTTGTAAAAACAAATCTCACAAGAGCTAATGTGACACCTGTACTCTTAAGCTGGAGCGTTCCATTAAACACTAGAGGCAAAACTTTGGTCTGGGAGGACAGTGTAGTCTTCATTTGTATGCAAACGTGGGGTAGGCAAGAATAATGTAACATGAAAATTGGTGGCAAGTTTTCAAACCCTGGTGTAGCGCCTTATAAAAAATGGCGAAGTTGCCGTGCAAAAGCAGAAAAAGTTAAAGGCGCGGTCATGCATTCCAGCTATACAAATTTACACAAGAAGGACTCATGGGGTTTAGTCAATTTAGAGCGGGGCCAAAACGAAGCCACAGTCATTGGCGCGAACAGACACAGGAATCCGTCAGTTGTTATTTCATTGATTTTGAGTAAATTTTAGCTTACAAGAGAAAATACAGCTATCCTAGTTAAATAAATTTCATAAATTCAATAACTGCTCACTACAGTGTGTGGCACACACTACGGATACAGTCGACATCCTGGGAACAACCAGCCACGAAATGTACATACCTTGTGATGTTATGGTAGCCATAATCTGTGGACTATGGACTCAGGCGACATTTGCCAAGGGGGGGGGGGCATCCCGGCCGCTGAAATAAAATTGGTTAGGCTGTTCAGCCAGCTAAAGCTGTCCTCCCAGTATAATACTTCATTTCACACTTACGGATCTCGAGATCCGCAAATTCCCGCATTCGAATTGTGCACCAGCTAGATCCCATGCGGCAAGAGAGTGGTCAACGATTGTAAAAGTACGAGAGTAGCTCTAGCAAACGTGCTTATGCGAGCAATGATACACCTTTCTTTCAAAGCTGCTGAAATGGGCCACTTAACCAGTTTCTACTGCGTGAGGCACCTTCGTATTTAGCTAATTTCTACTGTATGAAGAAAAAAGTTAAATCTATCTGGGGTACGATCCAGTATTATTCTACTGGATCACAGTTCAACAAGGACAAGTGTGTCTTTCGCTTTGGCGGCGTGACGGTGATGGAGGCCAAGCGCTGTGGAAACGTCTACAAGCTGAATACAGTGGGGGACCAGGTGTGTCGTGCGGCGACGACATCTCGTAAGGAGCCATCGGCCGTCGTGCACGCCCGTCTCGGCCACATCCCGTACAAGCGCTACGAACAGCTTTTGAGCATGGCCGATGGGGTACCGCGCATCGCGGGCGACGTGTCGATGGATAACGTGTGCGCCAGATGTTGCATGGGGAAGATGCGCGCTGACGACTTCCCACGTCACCCTGACAACTTGGTCAATAGTGCCGGTGTGCTGGATTTGGTGCAGACGGACGTCATGGGTCCGATGCAGACCAAGACACCTGGAGGCTGCACGTACGCAGTGACCTTCATCGATGACTACTCAAGACACGTGACGGTGTACTTCATGAAGGCAAAACCGGAGGTGCTGTCGAAGTTCAAGATCTCCAAGGCAGCAATGGAGAACGCAACGGGCAAGACGATCAAGCGCCTGCGTTCGGACAATGGCGGCGAGTACACAGGCAAGGAGTTCAAAGCCTACCTCGGCCGCAGCGGTATCAAGCATGAGAAGACGGTGCCGTACACGCCTCAGCAGAATGGATTGGCTGAGCGCATGAACAGAAGTTTGGTGGAGATGGCACGCTGCATGCTCTACTATGAGGAAATCGACAAGAAGTGGTGGGCTGAATCTGTCAACACGGCTGCGTGGATCATGAACCGGATCCCGAATTCGGTGACCGTGAAGACACCCCACGAGATCGTGCACCTAGTCAAGCCTCAGCTCAAAACCATGAAAGTATTTGGCGCACTTGGCTACGCCCACATCGCCGACGAGAAGCGTCGGAAGCTGGATGCGAAGGCGTTCAAGTGTCGATTCCTGGGGTACGAGGATGGTGTGAAGGGATACCGCGTTCTCAACGTGGCGACGGGAAAGGTGCAAATCGTGCGCACTGTGAAGTTCATGGAGACGACGGAACCCGATCACCTGATGACGCGCCTGGAGATTGACGACGATGAAGATTTGACTCCAACGGCACTAAACTCGGGCGGCGTACCTGCACTGGTGCCGGGTCGCGACGTTTCGACTGAAGTTGAAGTTGGCGGCCCGACTATGTCACCGAATAACGTGACGACAGGTGGAGCAATCGTTCCGTACACTACCCATCCGATGATTACTCGGTCGCGTGCTCATCACATTGAAGAGACCAACGATCCTGAGGAGCCCGGAGCTCGCTAGAAGCAAGTCGTTGCGCCATCCGAGATCAGGACGAAGCGTCAGAAGGTGAACCGAGGTCGCGCCAAGTCGGACGAGAACCAACTCACTATCCACGGTGGGATGCTGATGGCTGCAACGGAGGAGGTGCCAAGGTCATATCAAGAGGCGATTACGAGTGAGGATCGTGCCCAATGGAAGGCAGCGATTGCAAGTGAGCTCAAGTCGCTGATGACGAATAAAACATGGAAGTTGGTGTCCAAGCCCAAACACCAGCGCGCGATTGGCTGCCGCTGGGTGTTCGCGTTGAAGCGCGATGAGACGGGTAGAGTCGTTCGGTTCAAGGCTCGTCTCGTGGCCAAGGGGTACTCGCAGCGCCATGGAATCGACTACGAGGAGACCTACTCGCCAGTGGTGTACCTGAACTCCATTCGTGCGAAACTTGCGAAGTGCTGCGCCGACGGAATGGAAATTGACCAGTGTGACATCGACACTGCGTTTTTGTATGGAAACCTCGAAGAGGAGATCTACATGGTGTTGCCTGAAGGACTTCGAGAACTGCTGGATTTGGCTGAAGCCCAAGGTGAAGATGACGTCGTCTGCCTGCTACTGCAGAGTTTGTATGGACTCAAGCAAGCGTCTCGCGTATGGAACGGGACGATCGACGCGCATCTCAAGAGCATGGGATTTCAAGCTGCCGATGCCGACCCGTGTGTCTACACGAGAGGTGCTGGCGACGACGGATGCGTGGTGTGTCTCTACGTCGATGACATGCTGATTGCATCTCGCCAGCGGGCCATCATTGATTCAGTGAAGGCAGGAATCACGGACAAGTTTCGCATCAAGGACCTCGGACGCGCTCGATTCATCCTTGGCATCGAGATCGACTACAATATGGAGGCCAAGACGCTGGGCATCTGCCAGCGGGCGTACACCGCGTCGATCATCAAGAAGTTCAGCCAGGAGAATGCGAAGCCGTGTCTGACTCCACTCGACCCAAGTGTGCAGTTGACCAAGGTGGACGAACCCCAAACCGAGGAGGACAAGGCCAAGATGAAGTCGAAGCCGTATCTGTAATGGG